CCTTTTTTACTGTGAGGGTGGTCAGATACTGGAACGGATTGCCTGGAGAGGTTGCAGCATTAATTTACATGTTTTGAGACTCAAGAGCTAAGAATACATGCTTTTTTACTAGTTATCAGTCATAGTCACATGCCCTTCAAATTAAATGTTTCCTTAGTTCAGTATTTTTAAGATATAATTACAGGGGAAAATATAATTTGATTGACTAGAAATACAAATTTTATTTGTCATGAAATTAAGAAGGATGCCCAAAGAGTTTGACTGCCTGCAATAGATTATGTTACTCTTAAAATTTTCCATTTTCATAATCTTTCTTTCAGTTCTATCATTGATATCCACAAGCTAGATCAGAGGACATTCTATGTCATAGAATCATAGAATCATAGAATGGCCTAGGCTGGAAGGGACCTTAGAGATCATTTTAATCCAGCCTCCCTGCCGCCAGGGTCGCCACCTGTCGACTAGATCAGGCAACACATGGGGACCGAACGGGAACCAACCCATGACCTTGGTGTTGTTAGTGCCATGCTCAACTGACTGAGCTAACTGGCCCTCCTGAGACCATGCAGTGTAGTACGACATAGGTACCTCCAGCTAACCTCTCTTGCAGCTTGCTCTCCTCCTAGCCCCACCAAACCAAGAGACTAACCAGGGTGGTTTTACTTATGCTGGGAAGAAGCCCTGGCTCAAGCACTTCTCCAAGACATGACCAGGATCTGTCAGGAAGAGTGATAGCTGGCACAAGCCAAACCAGTACCAGCTGTCCTGGCAGTTGTGCCTAGAGCAAGCCAGCCCAGACTAACATCCAACGCTACAGGCCTGGGGAGGGGTGGCTGGAATGCTGCCTGGCAGAAGAGGATCTGGGGGTTCTGGTTGACAGCTAGCTGAAGATGAGCCAGAAGGGTGCCCAGGTGGCCAAGAAAGCCAACAGCATCCTGGCCTGGGTCAGGAATAGTGTGGCCAACAGTAGGGAAGTGATTGTGCCCCTGTACTCAGCTTTCGTGAGGCCACAGCTCGAGTACTGCATCCAGTTTTGGTCCCCTCACTACAAGAGGGACATTGAGAGGCTGGAGAGAGTCCAGAGAAGGGCATTGAATCTGGCGAAGGATCTGGAGAACAAGTCTTATGAGGAGCAGCTGAGGGACCTAAGTTGTTTAGTTTGGAGAAGACGAGGCTGAGGGGAGACTTTATTGCTCTCTACAACTCCCTGAAAGGAGACTGTAGCGAGATGGGGGTTGGTGTCTTCTCCCAAGTAACAAGCGATAGGACGAGATGAAATGGACTCAAGTTGCACCAGGAGAGGTTTAGATTGGATATTAGGAAAAATTTCTTTACAGAAAGAGTGGTGAAGCATTGGAACAGGCTGACCAGGGAAGTGGTGGAGTCATTGTCCCTGAAGGTGCTCAAAAAATGTGTAGATGTGGCACTTTGGGATATGGTTCAGTGGTCATGGTAGTGTTGGGTTGATGGTTGGGCTTGATGATCTTCAAGATCTTTTCCAACCCCAGTGATTTTATGATTCTATGTCAGTACTTGAGTCCATCCCCTGGTCCTGTTGAATTTGTACTTCATAGTTGTGGTCTCTGACTGATCTAAATATGCAAACGAACTTTACTAGCACAGTTCGCTTAAGCTGGTATAAAACTAAGGTAGGTACCATCTTGGTCTAAGTAGGAGACGAAAGAAAACCACATCATCTCCACATAAGGGGATCTGAGAAAGTATTACCCTGCTGGTAAGGGAGCTAATGTTCCTTTGCACTCCTGCTTCCCAGCAGTTACATCTGCACTTGTAAACCAGGGTGTTTGAGACAGTAATGATGGCTGTAACTATGGCATGTTTATTCACTCGTCTAGTAAATTATTTTGTGAAATCATATTCTGTCATCGGAGTCCAACTGTTAGAAAGACTTTCTGAGAGAAATGCAGTAACTACGCTTCAAATAAAAAAAAACTTGAAAGATTGATTGGGTTTGCATTGTGAATGCATCTTTCAGACTGATTTCCCAGTCAGCTGCTTCACTTTTAGGGAAGTTAAAATATTTTCTCTGTCACAAAGGATGGGAATGAAAGTGTGCTTTCATGGCAACAACCCAAAGTTGCTATAATTTTCTCATAAATGTTCCTTTTTTGAAACATTTACATGCTTCACAGATAGAATGAAAAGATAATAATAATTCATTGTATCTATTAATCAGAGTTTGTAAATAAACATTATATAAATAATCAAATGTCAAGTCATTTCAACTTTAGCTTTGGTGTTTTATATTTGTAGAGTTGCATTATCCGTAAGAAAAATATATGCTTTAATATATTTGAAAAAATGTATTAAGATAATGAACCTCAAGCAGAAGTATGTTGGGCAATCTTTGACATGTTTAATACTTCATATTCTTTATAAATTTTATTTCTGTTAAGAAGTTTATCATGTTTATAAAGTATCGTTCTTTCGAATATTGATTACCAGATTGCCACAGCATTGCACGTGGCAGACTTATAAACACTAATACAAAAAATCTTCCACTTTTCAAAGCTAGAATTGGTTTCAAGAGTAAAAGCTTTCATACGGTGCTATTTTACAAAACAACAGACTTAATTATGTGTTTAATTCTAAAATTACCCATTTTTATCCTTTCAAAGTAACTCTGGAGAGTGCCAGTAAACTGAGTCTCAGTCTGGCAGAGTATCAAGAGGATTCACACAGAACGAGCTGGGCGAGTGAGTTTTGAAATTCTCATGGTAAAAGCAAAAAACATGCGACTGGTTTGGTTATTGCAGTCTGCTCTATCTTCATTTTATGTAGAAACCGTGGGGAAAGGGACCAGTTGTCTTTAAGTTAGTTTTAACTTTTTTAGAAAGGTAAAATACACGTGCAATACTTCAGCATGTGATAGACAGCTCTCAAATGCATTAAATATTTCAAGTGTTTAAAACATACTTTTGTATTTGTAAATTCTATTTTGCTTAAAATAGGTTATAACCATATGCATTACTCCTTCAGTACTGCAGATAACTGTCATTTTAGTTTAATCTTTTTTCTAAGATGTCTTGGGAGTATTTTAATTTCCAAGGATCAGGGCCAGTATATTACATTTTTCTTGCATTGCTTGCATTTAGAGGACAACATATACTCTCTACCCTCCCCTAAAGTGTGGAACATTTTTTTCAGAGGGCAGCCAAGGGCTGTTGGTTGAGGAGTCGCTTTGCCGACTCGGATGCAAAGCAAGAGGAAGGGAATGGGCTGCTTCAAATGCTTTAGACAACCAACTGACACTGGGTCAGCTTTCCAGATTTTGTAGGAGTCCCTTTTAGTTTACATAGGGAGAACTGAAAAAATTGAGGTATTATATGACCTATTAATTAAAGTGTGAAAGTTTTTGAAAAGGCAGCTCCTGTGCCTAATTTTCAGTGTCTCCCAATGACACCCCCACACATTTCTCTTTCTCTGAAATGAACTATAACCTGTTCACTAATAATAAAATTATCCTTCTTTTTGGAAATACACACGTGCCTATACTAAAAATGTTATTAAACAGAGACATAGTTAGGTGATTCCTTGCTGGCCTAGGTAGGCTGCACAATGTTTTACTGTATTTTACCATGACCAGCTGTTCTGAGGATGCATGCTGCTATTTCTGTGTTTCTTTGTGCCTGCACACAATGAACTCTGTGAAGGAAAATTGGTTTTAGCTTCCATTTTTTTTAAAAGGCTTGGATAACATGGTACTCCTGATATTTTTTAAAGTTTTGAGTAAGTGAAGAGTTAAATTAAATTCCACCTAATTTTATCTGTCTAAAAATGAAGTGTCTAACTGTGAGTTACAATAAATCTCGCTCTGTCATCAGAGGAAAGAAAGAGGGATCTCTAGAGAACAATTCTGAGCTACCTAGTGTGGTTATCTCCATCCATGGGCTGCAGAAGGACTCTAGAGGACTGGCTTAGACTGGTCTTTCTTTCAGCGGCTGGAAATACTATGAATGGAACCATCGTAAAATGCATAGGGATCTAAATCTACAGGCTTTTCTTTACCATGATTTTAGCTAGAACCTCCTTGTTCGAATATGATACATACTTAATAAGTTTCAAAAAGTAGAGGATAATTTTTTTGTTTATTGTCAGAATCTTAGGCATATTGCTGGATAAGCTGAAAAGAAAGTTTAAGTAATAAGATAACTTGTTAGGATTCATACCATTAATCCACAAGGAGCTATGTTTGGGGTTTTTTCAGATGTGAGTAGTTAAATTTTAGCAGATTTACTCTAAGCAAGACAAATTATGTAATTCGTGATTTGGTTTTGGTATTAGACAGTCATAATTCAAATGGTGACATTTTGTTAGTCTGTTAACATTTCTCTCTAAACATTCATATTCCGTGCAAATTAGGAAAGTAGTTTTATAGCACTGTGTAAATTCCTACTTCCCAATGAGCCCAGCATTAACTTACTCAACCAAAGCACTATAGACCTTTACAATTACATCTATCGTGCAGGTGATGTATAACTAAGATTTTCTAAACACTTTACAATAATTTAGAAACTTTTAATTATCTAAAATAGTTCTAAGGACAAAAGCAGGTAAGTATATTGTTTTCAATAAGGGATACTGTTTTTTCTTTGAACTGTATAATATGAAGGTTGAAATTCTGTTGTTAATTGAAATTCAATTCACAATTCTGTTGTGAATGGAAATTCAATTGTAAAGAGTGAAATTCTATCCTTAGTGGCTCATGAGCAGTTTATGTTTCAGACAAGATCTATGTTACCATTGGCAGGGACAAGAAGGGAAGCTGAGCTCTGAACACTGGAAGAAGAAAAAACTAATACCAAATACTAAATAAAACTGTCTTTCTGATTGATCCGCACATTTTTGTAGCATGAATATTTTCCATTCGTGAACATTTTTATCTGCAGATGGGGAGGCTGGACAGTTAGTTAATTTGAAAAGTAGAATTTTAAGAGGAGATGATAATTTCTTGTATTTGTCTGTGTTCTTTCAAATAGGAACAGATGTCTCAGGTGTTAGATGCTATGTTTGAAAAGCTGGTTGAAGGAGGGGAACATGTCATTGATCAAGGGGATGACGGTGACAACTTCTACGTCATTGATAGGTGAATTGCTGTTTCTTACTATAAAACAAAGTATTATGCAAAAGTTGATTGAGAAAAATCTATTTCTCTATGTACTTGTATGTAACTCGTACAGATGTTTGCATGGGAGAAAGAAAAAAAGAATACACATGCACCTGTGAGAAAGAGAGAGTGGTTTTTGAAATGTGGCAGGTTTTTTGTATGGAAATATTTCCCTGACCTCTTTATCTTTTGCTAGATCCCAAAGGCTTTTTTTTTTTTTTTTTGGGTGAGGGGGTGTTTCTTTGTTGTTTTGTTGTTGGGGTGTTTTTACATGGAAAGACATCTAACAGAAAACGCAATGGGAAGAATTTTACAGCTCAGTGTTTGAAACATTAATGCTTTTCAGCACTATCGTAGACTTTCTTCTTCACATGAATATTATCAGATCTTAAGTAGCTAAGTCATTACTCTTCATTTGGAGAGCTGTACCGGAAAAATTGGTGTGCTAAGTAAAATCCTAGGTATTGATTACTATTGAATTCAATGAGATAGGAAGAGCATTTATTTTGGCACCCTTCACTAGTCTGTTGGCACAGGCTCCAGCCAGGCTGTCCCAAAATACCTTTTCTTATTTCTACTTTTAGTTCTAGGCTAATGGAGTGATTTCTGAGAGTGCTTGAAAGGAGTATTATGCTAGAACTCATTGAAAGAAACGCAGGTTTTTGGCCAGTGCAGACCAGTATAACTAGCCAGTCAGAAGGGCATTTATCCTGCTGTATGAGGTGCCAGGGCAGCCTCACCTGGAGCACTGTGTGCAGCTCTGGGCCCCACAACTGAAGAAGGACACGAAGGTCCGTGAATGCATCCAGAGAGGGCAACAAAGCTGGCGGAAGGGCTGCAAGGCTGTCCTGTGAGCAGCGGTTAAGCGCTTTGTGCCTGTCTGGTTTGGAGAGGAGGTGGCTGAGGGGCAACCTGCAGCTTCCTGAGGATGGAAAGTGGAGAGGGAGGTGCTGAGTTCTTCTCCCTGGGACCCAGTGATACGATGCATGGGAATGGTTCAAAGCAGCATTGTGGAGGTTCAGACTGGACATTAGGAAGCATTTCTTTATTGAGAGGGTGGTCAAACACTGCAACAGGCTTCCTAGAGGGTCGATGCCCCAAGCCTGTCAGTGAATAAGAGGCATTTGGACAATGCCCTTAATAATATTTAACTTTTTGTGAGCCCTGAAGTGGTCAGGCCCTTGGGCTAGATGGTCACTGCATGTCTCTCCCAGCTGAAATATTCAATCAGAAGATCTTAGAAATGCATCAGGATGTTTCGCTAAAGAGTCGACATTTTTCAGCTTTGTGAGGTTGCAGTTTGTCATCTCTTACCCAAAAAGCTGCAGGGATTTCACAGTATTCTGTCAGCTTTGCAGTTTTTAGGTGCAGCAAATCACCTTTAAGTCTCTTATCAATGAAATCATTGCACAGATTTTTGCATTACATTCACAGGATTTATCAACATAAATCATACAAATATTCAGCGCTGAACAAAATGATGGCTCAGCGTCAATGGAGATGACATGTTTTACAAGATACCAGATTTTACTGCATTCCCAAAGCAAATAACCAAGTCACTAATTTAAAGATGGGCAGAATAAATCCACAATATATATAGATAAATGCATATCTTTATTTCATAATCTTATGTTGCGTTTCATATACATTCCTTCTGTTTCCTGCATTTCCTCTATAAATTGCTACTTTAAAATATTTTTTAAATTTTTAATTATTTAATATTTAATTTA